GAGGTTTGGGGGGCTCCTCGGGCCCGTTGCGGCAAGCCTGTGGGGCTGGCGCCTGGCTCCTCCCCCTCATCTGGATTCTTCGAGGTGTCCACACTCCTCCTCCTCCTCCTCCTCCTCCTCCTCCTCCTCCTCCTCCTCCTCCTCCTCCTCCTCCTGCTCCTGCTCCTGCTCCTCCCCGTCCTCTTTCTCCTCCCTCCCATTCCTCCTCGCCGCCGCCCGCGGAGCCTGACGGACCCGGCGGCACTGCGGGGGCCCCCCCTTTGCCTCCCAGCCCTGGCGCTCGTTCTCCTCCCCCCTCGTCTCCGCAGCCGCTCCGCCTCTCGAGGAGCCTGCTCCTCCTCCTCCTCCTCCTCCTCCTCCTCCTCCTCCTCCTCCTCCTCCTTCTCCTCCTCCTCCTCTGCCTCCTCCTCCTCCTCCTCCACCTGAGGAGCCTCTCGAGGAGCCTGCTCCTGAGATCTGAGATCCCCCGTGTCTCGCAAACGCTCTCGCGCGCGGAAGGGCCCCCTCGCAGCCCCCACCTCCTCGCGAGCGAGCCCCACCCCTCTGCGCCTGCCGCCCGCGGTGCCTGCGCGGGCACCGCCGACGTGCGGCGAGGCCGTCGGCCAAGGAAGTCTGCGGGGCTTGTTCGATTCATCGGCTCGTCTCCCTCGCCTCCCTCGAAGCTTCGGAGCTCGAGGTTGAAGGTTCTGGGGCGTGCTCGTTGGCTCTCGGCTTAAGTCGGGCCCGTCCCTCTACAGGGGGAATATTCAGGGTAATCCCAAAACAGTCTGGGCACTACTTTTCGATTATTTTTGACCATTTGGGGGCATTTTGGGGGTATTTTCAATTTTCGCCCAGAATCCCCCTGTAGGGGGACACGCCCGACTGAACTCTCGGCCCCGGGGTGCTCTCCAGCAGCCGCGCCTCGCCGAGAGCACTCCCGGCACTGCCCCCCGATCGCCCCGCTCGGCCGCCGGAGGCCGGAGTTCACGGCCCGAAGGGCAGGCGACGCGGATCGGGGATGCACGCCGGTCGTTGAAAGCAGATATTTCTGGACTGCTCCTCCTCCTCCACACTCCTCCTCCTCCTCCTCCTCCTCCTCCTCCTCCTCCTCCTCCTCCTCCTCCCTCCTCCTCCTCCTCCTCCTCCTCCTCCTCCTCCTCCTCCTCCTCCTCCTCCTCCCTCTCCTCCTCCTCCTTCACACTCCTCCTCCTCCTCCTCCTCCTCCTCCTCCTCCTCCTCCTAAACTAAACTAAACACACATCGGGGGCAACGAAAACCGGTCTCAAAGCTCTGGACGCCGAATTCCGAGTTCCAGGCCGAAAAACCTCAAACGAAATTGTGTGCCCCTGTGACGTCGGGAACGAGGTCGGCGCGCGGCCGCGGGGGCCTGGCGGCGCCCCGCTCCGCAGGTGCGGCGACGGGGTCCGATACAGCCAGGGGGGCCCGCGACGCGCGACCGACGCTGACTGCATCCATGCACCGCGGATTCCATCCTCCCTCGGGCTGTTAGACGGAGCCGCCAGGGCCAGAACCCGCCGAACAGCCTGGGGGTGTGGGGGACCCGCAGTGCCTCACGTCCGACTGCGGGCTCTCCTTCGGAGCGACCCCAGTCGGGCAAACCCTGCTCTCCAGGGCCCTCAGAAGTTCACTTTCACGCTCGCTGCCAGTCGCAGCGACCATCGCGGTCTCACTAGCCGCCTGCTGTCGACGGGCCTTCAGCTCGGCTTCATGCTCTGGCCCATCTCCATCTGCAGATCGCGCTCGAGCCTGGACCTGCCCGTCGGCACGCACCGCCCCCTCGGCCTCCAGCGTGGCAAGGAGCAGCGTCCGCACGTCCCTGACGAGAGTCGACGCTCCTCCTCCTCCTCCTCCTCCTCCTCCTCCTCCTCCTCCTCCTCCTCCTCCTCCTCCTCCTCCTCCTCCTCCTCCACACTCCTCCTCCTCCTCCTCCTCCTCCTCCTCCTCCTCCTCCTCCTCCTCCTCCTCCTCCTCCTCCTCCTCCTCCTCCCTTCCATTCCTCCTCGCCGCCGCCCGCGGAGCCTGACGGACCCGGCGGCACTGCGGACGATGCACGCCGGTCGTTGAAAGCAGATATTTCTGGATTCCCAGATCCCAGTCTACTTCAAAAGCGCCTTCCTACTTCAAGAATCGGCATGCGTTTGCTGTGTCTTGGTACTCTCTGGGAGGACCTGGACCCAGCATCCACCATATCCGCCTTCCTACTGTATGTTTTTGCCTGCTTCTTCCGACCGACGTGTACCGTGGGAGACTTTCGTTTAGCGCGTCGTGCTGCCGGTTCTGACCCACCGCTCTTCGGCGCGATGCGCCATCGGAGTGCCCTCGGCGTCACCCCAACATACTGACACGGCGTGTGCGCCGCGCCCCCCAATTGGGCGACGCGCGCACCGAGGAGTCTTGTAGTGCATGGGTCGTGGCGGGATCTTTCTGGCCACCCCGCTCGGGAAACGAAACAAACCAGTGGTTTCCATGGAAATCCTGGACACGCAGTTTTCGGCCCGGTCGAGGGCCCCTCGAGGGGGCCCGAACCTCTCGAGCGCTCCGCCCTCGCCTCTGCGACGAGCGCCGGCGTCGAGCACTTCTTCTTGCGAAGGCCTCACGGCCGGTGCCGCCGACTGTGAAGGGGGACGGCAGCGGCGGCGGCGGCGACGACGCTGACGTGGGTCGGAGTCCTCAGGGGTGCTTCTTGGGGGTCTCTCCGAAACGCTTTCGGGGACCTTTGGGGGGCAGTTTGGGAGTCTTCTGGGAGCACCTCGGGAGCCTCTCGGGGGCCTCTCGGGGGCCTCTTGGGGGCCTCTTGGGCCTTCCTGGGGGCATCTTAGGGTCTTCTTCTCTTGGGGGCCTCTTGGGGCCTCCCGGGAGCCTCTCGGGGCAGAGGGCTCGAAATGTCCGATGGGTTCACTCGTCTGGGCTCCCTCTTGGAGCCGTCTTGGGAGCCTCTTGGGCCGTCCTGAAGGCCTCGTGGGCTGTCTTGTGGCCCTCTTGTGTCGTTTTGGGGCCCTTTCGGAGGCCTCTTAGTTAGGCCGTCTTGGGGCGACCTTTCTGGGCATCTTGGGCCGTCCTGGAACGTCGGGAAGCCAAAAAGACGAGAACGCAAAAATCCTTGAACAACAATTGGAAACTGCATGAATGTTGTCTCTTGGGGGCATCGTGGGGGTGCTCTTGGAGATCTCTTGGGGCGTCTCGGAAGCCTCTTAGGGCCGTCTGGAGGCTATCGTTGGCGTCTGGGACAGACCGTTCGGCGCTTCGGGGCCGAGTGGAACCGTCCTGGGGACCTCGTGCTAGTGGCACACGTGGCCCTTTTGGGGCCTCTTTGAGCCCAGGGGCTCCCCGGGGACTGGACCAGTGGATTCAGGGGGGGCGCTTTTTTTTTGTTCCTGGGACCTTTCCCCCAGGCCAGACCTTGCAGCCCCCCACAAAGGAAATCCATGTGTAATCCTCACAAAGGGAATCAACTTGTACCCCCTCACACGAATGGGAATCAATCGCAGCGTCCTCCACAAAGGGGGGGACAGAGCAAGAGAGAGAGAGAGAGAAGGAGAGAAAGAGAGCGAGAGAGAGAGGAACTTGACAAAATCGTAGAAACGCGGGCCTCCGTTATGCCCCCCTACCCGGCAATCTGACCCAGGACACCCTCCAACACGCCCCGCCAACGCCCCCTCCAGGCTCCCCCCCCCCCCCGGCGGGAGAGGGATCAGGGGAGAGGGGCTTCCCTTCGGCTCGTCTGCGGCGCTGCTCAGGTTCCCCCTGGCTGGCGCGCTCGAGGAGGAGGGTCCAGGGAAAGGGGGGGGGTTGGCGACGGGCCCAGGGAAAGGAGGGGGGGGGAGAGGCGGCGGCGGCGGCGGCGGCGGCGGCGGCCGCTGCGACGACGAAGACGACGACGACGACGACGACGACGACGACGACGACGACGACGACGACGACGACGACGACGAGTCAAGCGGAACAGCGTCTCGCACACGCCGGCAGGGTCGGCGGATTCTCGCTCGCAGACATCCCAAGTGGAGGCAAGCACGGAGGAGCGGAGGAATCTAATTCCATGGAGGATCAAGCACGCCAAGAACGGACAAATCGAATGCCTGCATCATACAGGTCGAACATACTGTTCTCAGAAGTTGAGAATGGCAGATTCTCCTTTCCCCTCCATTTCTCTCTCGCTCGTTGTTTCTGTCTCACTCTCGCTCTCTCTCTCTCTCTCTGTTTGTTCTCTCTTTGGAGGAGGAGGAGGAGGAGGAGGAGAAGGAGCAGGAGCATGAGGAGCAGGAGGAGCAGGAGAGGAGCAGGAGAGGAGCAGTAAGAGGAAGAGGAGGAAGACCACGACCACGACAGTTTTGAAGATGAGGAGGGAAAACTCGAATGAGAAGGAGGAGGAGGAGGAGAAGGATGAGGAGGAGGAGGAGGAGGAGGATGCATAAGGAGGAAGGAAGGGGGATGGAGGAGGGATGAGGCAGGAAGGAGTGAGGAAGGAGGAGAGGAGGACGGCGGAAGAGGAGGTGGGGAGAAGGGGGAGAAGGAGGAGGAGGAGGAGGAGGAGGAGAGGGAGGAGAGGAGGAGCAGAGGAGGGCAGAGGACAGGGAGGATGAGGAGGAGCAGGAGGAGGAGGAGGAAGACGATGACGAGCAGGAGGAGGGGAGAAGGAGGACGACGAAGGAGGAGGAGGAGGAGCAGGGAGGAGGAGGACGAGGAGGAGGACGAGGAGGAGGAGGAGGACGAGGAGACGACGAGGAGGAGGACGACGAGGGGGAGGAGGAGGAGGCAGGAGGAGGAGGTGGAGAAGGAGGAGGAGGAGGAGGAAAAGGAGGAGGAGGACGAGGATGAGGAAGAGGAGGAGGAGGAGGAGGTGGCGGAGGCAGGAGGAGGAAGAGGAGGACAATGCAGGTCGCCGTGTGTCTTGACTATTCTTGTGCCCACCCCCCTGTCCCGTCGTGGCCGCTCAGGCTCCGAAGCAGGCGTCCTTCGGCCGCCCGCCCGCCGCAGGGTTGCGCGCGGCCGTCGGGGAGGATGGTCCGCGGCGCCACGAAGAGGGGGGCCAAGAAGGGGCGGGCGAACCCCGACAGGCTCCTGGAGGAGCAGGAGCAGGAGCAGGAGCAGGAGCAGGAGCAGGACGGAGGAGGAGGAGCAGGAAGGAGCAGGAGGAACGACAGAATAAGGACAAGAAGGAGGACCAGGAAGAGGAGGACTAGGAGAAGGAGGAGGATAAGGAGGAGGAAGAGGAGGAGGAGGAGGAGGAGGAGGAGGAGGAAGGCAGGACGGAAGAAGGCCCAGGAGGAAGCGGAAGGAAGGCAGGAGGAGGAAGAGGAGGACCAGGAGGAGGACCAGGAGGACCATCGCACGGCTTCGGGAAGGGTTCGACGCCGCTAGGGTTGCGGCTTTAGCGCTTGCATGGCAGCACTGAGCGCTTCCTCCCTGATGGGTATCGGGGAACGGTACACCACTTGGCTCCTTGTTGAGCCCTTCGGGTGCCGCCCGCTGATACGAGGATCCCATGCACAACGGGTGACGGAGGAACGAAATGACTGGAGACATTGCTGATATAGGCCTCTCAGGTTACACTCACTGTACCTGTCTGCCACAACACGTACTGGCAACGATCAAGCAGATTCGCTTTGATTCGCATCAGACACGAAGAGCTGGTGACCACTGGGCTGAATAGCGAGCTCGGCTCCACTCATCGCATTTCCAGGGCAGGGCCCGTGCTCGC